TAGTGCAGCAGAAAACCGGCCGCGGGTGAACATAACCACGGCGGCGGCCATTTCTCGCCCAGCCACTACGGCGACTACAGTAGCGTCCCAACTAAGGAGTACTGCTGTCACAGCTGCGAGTTCAGAGCCGGAAGTGAGCCAGCCACTCACGGCGTACCTATTGGAGAGGATTACGGCGTTGGAGAACGAGCTGAAGCAGGTTAGAGCTATGAACGCAACGAGCACCGCCAATTGCGCGCCAATCGCAGTTGGCCCAAGCGCAAATGGCGCCAACAGTGGAGCGTCGGAGCGGCCGCCATCGTGGAGCGGACCGCCATTAGCCGCCACATTGAACGGTGAGGCCCAAACTAACGGGGTCGGGCCGGACCCATATAGCAGTTTCGGTGCGACCAGTGGGGCCTACACGCTGCCGCCATCTTGGAGTGGACCACCGTTGCTAACGACTAGCAACCCACTGTGCGCTACAAGTGCTGCGCAGACAGCTCATGGATTCGCGCTACCGGGCGGGAGCATCCACAACGTGGCAACTGCATCGCCATTCGTGGGATCCTACGCCTCGATGACACCGATTGGAACCCAAGGAGCGAATGGGCCAAGGAGGCTTCCGGACATGCCTATATTTGGAGGGCATCCCGAGGATTGGCCCATCTTTAATTGTGCGTTTGTGGAGACGACCCAAGCGTACAACTGCACGGACCTGGAGAACAACCAGAGGCTGTTGAAGGCGCTGAAGGATGAAGCACGCGAAACAGTGAAGTCGCTGCTGATTCACCCTGCGAACGTCAGAGCCGTGATGGAGCAGCTGCGCTTCAGGTTTGGCCGACCGGAGCAGCTAATACGCAGCCAGCTGAACAGCGTGCGAGAGGTGCAGCCAATTTCGGAGCAGCAACTGGCGAGGATCGTCCCCTTCGCAACTAGAGTGAGTAACCTCACGGCCTTCTTGCAGTCGGCGAAGGCGGAGCAACATATGGGAAACCCCACCCTCATGGAGGAGCTTGTGGCAAAGCTTCCCACCAGCAAACGAGTGGATGGGGCCAGGCACGCTGCATCGATCGAGCCCTTTCCCACTGTAGCGCACTTCAGCGTGTGGCTACAGGAGTACGCAAACATCGTGTGTACGATTTTGGACGTCGAGGGAAAGGAGCCGAGGCGTCGAGTTCTGCACGCGAGCGTCGACCAGGACCGATACGAGCAGCGGGATGACCGGCATAGAGGTTGTCCAATTTGTGGAGGGCAACAACATGCTACGACGAACTGCTGGGAGTTCATCGGAGCTTCGCCACCGGGCAGGTGGAGCATGGTGAAGAGGCATCGGCTCTGCTTCACATGCTTACGAAGTGGGCATACGACCAGATCCTGCGATGTGCATCGCGAGTGCCAGATCGACGGATGCCGCAGATTACATCACCGTCTGCTACATGCAGAGGACGAAGAGCGAAGAAGGCCGGAGCAGCGAGGTGGCTTCAGGCGCCACAACGGAGGAAACCAGACGTCAGCGGTTTCCAGACGCAGCCCGGAAAGGAGGTCTTCGCCACGAGGTGGTTACAGGGACCACGAGAGGAGCCAGCAGTCGGCTGTCCTCAGGAACAGCCTGGAGAGAAGGGCCCCGCTGCCAGCAGAGGCGCCCGTGCAGACGAATTTAAGTATTGACGTCGAAGGAGGCCGACTTTTGTTTCGCATACTACCAGTAACGCTGTACGGAGCTGGTCGCCAGGTGGACACATACGCGCTGTTAGATGAGGGATCCTCCGTCACGATGATCGACAACGAGCTACGGAGGGATCTGGGATTGGAAGGCGAACATCGACAGCTTAACGTCCAATGGTTTGGAGGAAGATCCAGCAGGGAGCCTACCAACGTGGTGAGTCTGGAGATAAGTGGGCCTGGGAAGCCCACTCGCCACCCGTTGAGGAACGTGTACGCCGTTTCAAATTTGAGTCTGCCGATGCAAACGTTAAGTCGACGAGATGTCCAGGGCGTGCAAAGGGATTCGCGACTGCCGATGAAGCCCTACAGCAACGTGGTGCCGAAGTTGCTAATCGGACTGGACCATGGTCATCTGGGATTGCCACTTAGGGCGAGGCGGTTTGCCAGAGAGGGACCGTATGCGGCCGCAACCGAGCTTGGATGGGTTGTATTCGGGCCAGTAAGTGGACAGTCGACTACGCCGTCACCGAGCTCCTGCCTTCTAGCCGTGTCAATGGACGATGCGATGGAAAAGATGGTGGAGGACTACTTCGAGATGGAAAGCTTTGGTGTGAAGCTCGCGCCACCGGTCGCAGCCAGCGACGACGCGCGGGCCCAAAGGATCCTCGAAGACACCACGGTGAAAGTGGGGCTTCGCTACCAGACGGGATTGCTCTGGAAGGACGACCACGCTGTGCTGCCACGGAGCTATGAGATGGCGCACAGACGGCTGATCAACGTCGAGAAGAAGTTGAAGCGCAACGGGCAGTTGGCTCTAGAATACGACCGTATCATCAAGGATTACGTTTCCAAAGGATATGCAAGGAAGCTGCAGCCGGATGAGGTCGCGGTGAAGAGCGACAAGCTGTGGTATTTGCCACATTTTGGTGTGGAAAACCCAAACAAGCCCGGAAAGGTCCGGCTTGTGTTCGATGCTGCAGCCAAGGTTGGAGGAACCTCACTCAATTCGGCGCTGGACAAAGGGCCACAGCACTACAAGCCCTTGCCAGCTGTGCTCTTCCACTTTAGAGAAGGAGCAGTCGGAGTCTGCGGGGACATCAAGGAGATGTTCCACCAAGTGCTGATCCGACCCGAGGATCGATGTTCCCAAAGGTTCCTCTGGAGAAATGGCAACGACGATCGAGAGCCGGATACATACGAGATGAACGTGATGACTTTTGGAGCAGCCTGCTCGCCGAGCACTGCGCACTACGTCAAGACGGTGAATGCCCTGAAGTTTCGGGATTCAGATCCGAGGGCAGTCAAGGCCATCATCGACCACCATTATGTCGATGACTACGTGGATAGTTTCGATACGGAGAGCGAAGCTATCGAGGTATCTACCCGAGTGAAGGAGATACACGCGGAGGCTGGATTCGAACTATGCCAGTTCTCATCCAGCTCACCCATCGTGGAAGCGGCGCTGGGACCACCTGGACAAGTCAAGAGCGTCGGATGGGGTGAGTCTGAGCAGAAAATCCTTGGAATGCGTTGGCAGGTAGCAACGGATGACTTCAGATTCAACGTGGAGTATCATCGAGTGCCAAAAAGCGTCCTAAGTGGAGAGCGAGTCCCAACAAAGAGGGAGTTTTTGAGCCTGCTGATGTCAACGTTCGACCCATTGGGGTTCCTGTGCTGCATGATGATTACAGCGAAGCTGTTGCTGCGGGAGATCTGGAGGCAGAAGATCCAGTGGGACGAACCGCTGCCGGAGGAGATAGGCAGAGCCTTTGCTGCCTGGCGCAGAGAGATGGACGCCGTGGGACAGTTCCGATGTCCTCGCCACTATTTTGGGCGTGGAGAAGTTGGGACCATCGAGCTACACGTTTTCGTGGACGCAAGCCAATCTGCATTCGCGGCGGTGGCCTATTGGAGGGTCACGTACAAGAATGGCAACGTGCTGGTTACCTTCGTGTGCGCAAAGACGAAGTGTGCGCCGATGAGAACGATGTTCATCCCACGACTGGAGCTGCAGGCAGCGGTCCTTGGAACCAGAGTGATGAATACTGTCAAGGAAGAACACGGTGTGGACATCAGCGAGACGGTTTTATGGACGGACTCAAAAACGGTGCTGAAATGGATCGGCAGCACCCACCGCCGGTATAAGCAGTTTGTTGGCAACCGAGTGGCGGAGATTTTGGAGTCGTCGAAGGTTTCCCAGTGGAGATGGGTACCTACAGCTGACAACGCAGCGGATGATGCGACGCGGTCGCAGAGCAAGGCGGACCTTAGCCCGGAATCCCGGTGGCTAAGCGGTCCCGCATTTTTGAGGCAGCCAGAAAGCGGCTGGCCAACGCCTGAGAAGGGAACCGAGCATGTTCCAGATGCACCTGACGAGGAGGAGATGCCCGGTGAGTCCGCTTTGGTAGCATCGAATGAATTTGTCATCCTGTTCCAGAGATTCTCGAGCTTCAGTCGCCTGGTGAGGACCACCGCCTGGGTCCTGAGGTTTGCGCGACGGTGCCGCAAACAGAGAAGCGAGCTCGAGGAATATGGACTCACTGCGACGGAGTGTGAGGCCGCGGAGAACCTGTTAATCAGGCAGGCCCAATTGGAGTCGTTTCCCGACGAGATGGGGTCGGCGGAACGCGGAAAGGAAGTCGCCAACTCGAGCGATATTCGAAGTCTGGCGCCGTACATGGATAAATATGGAGTTCTGCGAGTTTAAGGCAGAGTCGATGCCGCGCTGTCCATGCCGTACAGTGCGAGGAGGCCCGTGATACTGTCACACAGGCACAGTCTCACGGAGATTGTAGTAAGACACTACCACGCCCAGATGAAGCATCAAAACGTGGATGCGACGATTGCCCAGATCCGGACGAGATTCTGGGTCACGAAGATAAGACGAGTGCTGAAGGAGGTAATCTCGTCGTGCAACGAATGCAAGCTACAACGGACGCGGCCGATGCCGCCGATAATGGGACCCCTTCCAGAGGATCGCTTGGAAGCTGGAGGATGGCCATTCAAGTACACAGGACTAGACTACTTTGGGCCGCTGCTGGTGACTGTTGCCCGTCACAGAGAGAAGCGTTGGGTCGCCTTGTTCACATGCTTGACGACAAGGGCGATTCATCTGGAGCTGGCGCATGATCTGTCAACGGATTCCTGTATAATAGCGATCAGGAACTTCGTCTGCCGTAGAGGACCAGTATGTAAACTGCGGAGTGACAACGGCAAAAACTTCGTGGGAGCTGACAGAGAGGCCAGACGATTTGGAGACGTGTTCGAGACGGAAAGGATACAGAGTGAGTTATCCAGCAGGAGCATTGAGTGGGTTTTTAATTGCCCATCCAACCCGGCTGAGGGCGGAGTATGGGAGCGGATGGTGCAGTGCGTCAAGCGAGTGCTGCGCCATACCCTGAAGGAAGTCGCGCCGAGGGACCATGTGTTGGAGAGTCTACTCATAGAGGCGGAGAACGTAGTCAACTCGCGTCCGCTCACCCACTTGCCAGTAGATGCGGACCAAGAGGCGCCGTTGACGCCTAACGACCTGCTCAAGGGAGTAGCTAACCTGCCAGATACGCCTGGATTGGATGCCGAGCTGCCCAAGGAGGGTTCTACGCGAAAGCAGTGGAGGATTGCCCGCATGCTGCGAGACCGTTTCTGGAGGAGGTGGGTCAGGGAGTACCTGCCTACGCTTGTGCGCCGCGAGAAGTGGTGCCGGAGAACGGAGCCCATCCGCCAGGGCGATATGGTCTTCGTCTGCGATCCTGCCTTGCCCAGACGAGAGTGGCGCAAGGGCATCGTGGAGGAGGTCTACAGCGGAGCTGATGGAGTCGTCAGACGCGCCACTGTGCGCGTAAATGATAATGGATTATCTTGGACAATGTTGCGGCCCGTCTCTAAACTTGCAGTTTTGGATCTGAGTGAAGCGGGTCTTCACGGGGTCGGGGATGTCGACGGTCAAAACATTGTTATCGATAGTTAAGTCAGTATTATTAGGAAATGTAGTATTTTAAGTTATCGGAATTACGGGCCTACTAATAGCGGTAGTGTGAATGCCGCCGAAAAGTGCCACTCATTGATCGTAGGAGGGCACACTGCGGTAAGAAGAAGAGATATATTTGAATTGTTAACTAATTTAATGAATTTACAGAATATAACGTTCCGTTAGCCACAGCCAAGGCCTTTGAAGTACCCCTTGCTTCGGACCTACGCGTGTGGGGAGCCGTTTAAGGCAACTCCACATGACACAAAACAACATTTTTTGTTCGTGAAAATGGAAAATTTTGTTCAATCACTCACTATTTTGCAAAAATCAAAATATCGAAAAAAAACCAAAAAAAACCACAAAAATACCAAAAAAAAAATGTCAAAATTTACAAAATACCCAAATTTACAAAAAAACAAGAAAGCAAAGCTAACTTCGGGCGGAGCCGAAGTTGATATACCCTTGCAGCTAAAACCGGATATATATCGCAAACATCGGATATAGTTGGCCGATGCTTAAGATTACATCATAATAAAACCAATTAATTACAATAAAAAATCTAAAAAAAAGTCGCAAGCTTCTATCTTCAAAAATACGAAAGTTGATATTTCTACCAAATACCATTTCCGATCGTTCAGTTATATGTCAGCTATAAGATATAGCCAACCGATCGTTATGAAATTTGGTAGATCGGATTAAATGACCAAAAATAGAATGTGTACCAAGTGCCAGCTTTCTATCATCAAAAACACGAAAGTTGGGTCATTTCATATATAGCCGATATATAGTAAGCCGATCCTTATGAAATTTGGCATGTCGTATTATTTTGCCAAAAAGAGCTCTCGTGTCAAATTTGAACTCTCTAACTCTAAAAACACCAAAGTTATACCATTTCCGATCAATCAGTTATATGGCAGCTATAGGATATAGTCGGCCGATCCCGGCGTGCAAAGGAAAGAAGGGTGTGTGCAAAGTTTCAAGACGATAGCTTCAAAACTGAGAGACTAGTTCGCGTAGAAACAGACAGACAGACGGACAGACAGACGGACATGCTCATATCAACTCAGGAGGTGATTCTGATCAAGAATATATATACTTTATAGGGTCGGAGATGTCTCCTTCACTGCGTTGCACACTTTTGACCAAAATTATAATACCCTCTGCAAGGGTATAAAAAGTATGGCTAAACTAAAGGCATGGATGGGAACAAATTGTACGAGGAGCTATCAATAATTAAAACCAATTTTGACAGATCGTAAAAGTCTCTATCTCAGAATAGACCCATTAAAAAGAACACGGTTAGGAAGCACGTTAAAATATTAGTAGAGTGCGCGTATGCTAATACATGATCATAGGGAAAGATTAAATCAAGATCATTGGTCACAGGTATCGAAAATTTTGATACGACTACGATCTAATTTAATATTTATTAAACAAAAGTTCAGTTTAGAAATATCATTACCAACCGTTCTAAACACTCCAATAGCAGTTGACACTGCACCTGACTCGGAATCAACAGAAACGAACGAATCTGAGTCAGAAGAGCTTCCCAAAGTAAACCCCAAAATAGAAGATGAAGATTTAAATAATCTTATACACTGATCTGGATAACTCTACAGATTCAGATACTTCGAGTGTCATAGAATACAAAATAGATAAATCCATCACAATGGCACAGTCAAATATTGATTTTATTAATACAGCATCTAAGCTTATACCAGTTTTTGATGCTTTACAAATAATTCAATCAATAAAAGGCGAGCACGAAGAACTAGCTATTTCCATTATTAAAACAAAGCTAAAAGGTGTCGCCAGGAATCTAATCGGTAATGAAACAACAATTACTGAGGTGATTGCTAGACTTAGAAGCAACGTCAAAGGCGAAACTGTTGAGGTATTATCAGCGAAGCTGATGAATCTACAGCAGCGCAATAAAACTGCTAACCAATACACACAAGAAATTGAGCAGATGACGAAAGCCTTAGAAGGTGCATATATATGAGATGGTTTATCTTTAGAGCTAGCCAGGAATTATTCCATGCAGCATGCAGTCAAAGCAATGACTAAAAACTGCACAATCGATAAGGTAAAACTTATCATGCAAGCTGGAACATTCAGTACGATGAACGAAGCCGTTTCCAAATTCGTTAATAGTTGCACTGAAGCAACTGGGCAGTCAAACACTGTCCTATATTATAAGAATTATCCACAGCGCGGCTCAAATCGCGGACGTGGCAGTTATAGAGGTAGTTTTCGTGGTAATCACAATAACTAAAATCACAATAACTACAATCACAATAACTACAACAACGATAATTATAACAACAATTATCAGAATAACAATAGAGGGCGAGGCCCATATAGAGGAAACTATACAGGCAGTGGTAACTCAAACCGAGGCCACAATAGCAATAGCCAAGGCAATGTAAGAATGACACAAAATAATAACCAAATACTCCCAATACAAATACTCGGATAACTCCCAAAACCCTTTAAATATTCAACAATAAATGAAGTGAGAGTTCATACCATTAATCTCAGCCAAAATATATTCGTTTCTTTTTTTAATGTAGCTACTGGGAAAGAACTTATATTTTTAATAGACACAGGTGCAGACATTTCCATTCTAAAAGAAACTTCGAATAATTTCCAAAACATCCAAAATGATTACATCATAGACATAAAAGGCATAAGTCAAGAAATAATAAAATCCAAAGGTTTAGTTTCTATAGAGATACAGACCACCAATTACATAATTCCACACGATTTTCATATCCTAAATTCACATTTTCCAATTCCATGCGATGGAATAATAGGCATCTACTTTATCAAAAAATACAACTGTCAATTAGACTTCAAGCCATCTGAAGATTGGCTTATAATTAGACCCAATAATTTAAAATTTCCAATTAAAGTACCAATAGCTCATAGTTCTGGTAATAATTCAATACCTCTGCCAGCAAGATCCCAAGTTATTCGGAAAATTGAACTTAATTCAACAGCACACAGTGTATTAATTCCAAATCAAGAAATTCAACATGGTATTTACGTTGCAAATACCATAGCAACATCCAATAATGCCTTCATAAGACTTGTTTGGTCATCGAGAGTTTTCGATGCCGTAAATAAAAAATCAGAATTTAATTAATCTCAACGTTATAAACTTTATTCAGGCCGCATATGAAATTAGGATTTATGTACAATATTTGAAATCCAATTTAGGATGCGAGCGCAGTAAGAAGACGAACGAGAGTGGCGCCAACCTTGCAGAATAGGCTGAGCGGATGCTCGCTAACCATAAGCGCCGAAGTAGCAAAGCCGAGCGGCCGAAAGAGAGTCGGCTTGCGACCAGCAAAACATCAGTTACTTATTAATTGTTGTGTTTAAATTAGTTGCTTGCTGCTTGACCCGACATTCTCCCCCCAGTTGGGGCTTCTACTCCAACTTCATCCTTAAGGGGCAAAAGGCACAGCTTAGTCACCGCTCGCTTGGTAATTCCAGATGAGGTTTTTATCACCGCCACTCGAAAGATACCATCCCGACCAGGGATTAACTCCATTATTCTCGCAAGCGGCCATTTCATCGGAGGTAGATTCTTGTCCTTTACTAGCACCACATCGTTTGGGGCCAAGGCAGGACCGGAGGCGCGCCATTTGGAGCGCTGCTGGAGAAGACTTAGGTACTCCTCCTTCCATCGGGACCAGAAAGACTGCTGCAGGAAAGACACGCGCTGCCAGCTGTCCAACCGATAAAGCTGACTGACGGACCACCAGTTAAAAAATGAGCCGGGGTCAGAACATCAAGGTCTGCAGGATTTTCTGAAAGAGACAATAAGGGTCGTGAATTTATAACAGCCCCAATATGGCACAGCAGCGTTCGCAGCTCCTCGAATCCCAGAACTGCAGATCCGACAGCTCGGTAAAAATGGTGCTTGGCGGTTTTAACAGCCGCTTCCCACAGACCACCGAAATGCGGAGATCGAGGAGGAATAAAATGCCATTCGATGGACTCCATAGAGCAAAACTCCAGCAGTGACCGTTGATGCTCTTCGCTTAGAAATAATCGGCGCAGCTCCTTTAGCTCGTTTTTGGCTCCAACAAAGTTGGTTGCGTTGTCAGACCAAATATGTTGAGGACTTCGGCGGGTGCATATAAAACGCTTTAAAGCCTGCAAAAAAGACATTGTGGACAGATCCCTTACAAGCTCCAGATGGACGGCTTTGGTAGCAAAACAAATGAACATGCTAATGTAACATTTTACTGGAGCCTTATTACGCACTTCCGGCTTATAATAGAACGGTCCACAAAAATCCACACCAGTGACTCCGAAGACCTGGGAGCCGCTAACTCTTTCCTCCGGGAGATCAGCCATAATGTGCTGCAACAGCCGAGGCTTAGTCCGGAAGCATCGGATGCATTTGTGTAATGCCTTCGTTACGGTTTTTCTCCCCCCAATTGGCCAATATTGGGACCGAATAATTGCCAACAGTGCGCGAGGTCCCGTATGTAAATTTCGCTCATGGAAGTCAACAATTATAGCCCGCGTAACTGGATGGCTTCTTGGAAGTATAATTGGATGCTGTTTATCAAAATCCAACGACGAATTTTTTTGTCCAAATTTGTCCAAGAAGGGAGAGGATGAGGCAAGGGCACTGGATACCGCTATGTCTTTTCCATTTTGAAGAGCCTTTATTTCCTCCCAAAAATGCACACGTTGCACTAGCCGCAATAACAGCTGTGTTCCAGATTTTATATCGCTAGCCGTAACACCGTTGTGGTGAATTCGTTGAGAAAACTTGTATACGTAAGCGAATACCCTCTGCAGTGCTGGAAACGAATTAGCGTACTTAGAAACCGCTGTTATATCCACGTACGGAGACTGAATGAGCAGGACCCTTGCACGTAACTCCAGGGTTGATCTCTCAGATGGGACCGCGGTTGGCCACGTCTCTTGGGATCCAACGAGAAACGGAGGACCATGAGACCACAGCTTATTCTCAACCAATTCATTGGGAAGAGCACCACGCGACAGGATATCTGCTGGGTTCAAAGAAGTGGGAACATACCGCCACTCCATTTCTCTAGTTAGCTTCTGAATGGTCGAAACTCGATTGGCGACGAAAACATTAAACCGAGAGGGTTCTTCTCGAATCCAAGACAGAGCCACAGCAGAATCGCACCAGCAAAAATACTTTCCAACGTAGACCTTCAACTGCTCTACTTCCGACATAAGTCGAGCCAACAACTCGGCTCCCGATAACTCCAG